CATTCCAAGCAAGAGCTTAACCTGATGAGCTGTACTACATGCCCCCTACCACTTAGATTTGTAGCTTCTATTAAAACAATATCTAGATTTAACACTATTTCGTAAATTCTGCTTGAAAATTTTTCCAGATTGTATTATAACATTTTTTAAATGGAAGTAGCAATATGTTAATTTATTCATTCAGATTTCTCTTATCAAGACAATACCTTAATCTAGAATGTAGAAATCAGTTTGCACACACATATACATATATATACACATGTATGTGTACATACGTATGTACTTGTTTCTATGTGTATATATGTCAACTTTCTTCATAGTCATGGAAATGATTTTGTTTCATGGATCAAATTTCCCTATATGTTACTGGAATTTTACTTTTGTTACATATTTATCACACAGTTTTTTCTATTTAGAATAACAGTTTTCTCTGAATGGTTAGATATATTTTTAGAATCCTTTTAAAATAAATAAAACAATTCACAGTTTTGGTTTTGAGTTTTGCAAACATTTGCTAAATTATTTACAGCAATAGATCATAACCGTGATTCAAAAGTAATTTCACTTTCTGCCAAAGACCAAGATTTACCTTTATTTGAGGGTTCTCTATTGCTTGGCTTAACTCGACTGATACATTCCATCTCTTGTCTAAGTTAAATCTAACCGCTTTAATGGTGTTCCACTGGCATCCCCACCCCGTTTATGCGAGAGTGTTGGTCAGGTCATCGTTGGTACGTGCTCCATCAGGATGCTGCACTTTCAGAGAGACACAGAAAACAAGTCTGTAAGCCTCTGAGCTGTTTGTTCCGAGGAATGCCACTGCTATCAGCTCAGCTGAAGCTGGAAGCCGCGCACGTCGTGGTTAAAATTCAAACTACAGTTCAAAGAATGCTGCTGTATTTTTAGCCAAAACTCTGGATTGTGTCCCTTTCACTCTAACAACGGTGTCAGCCGCATTCTCAAAGGTTCACCCTCCACAGTCTTTGAAATCAATGGCTAATGTTTAAAGCTGTGTCTTCAGTTAAGACAAAAGCTGTACTCTTCACAGCAGGTATAAACCCAATAAAATACTTTTTAAATTAATTCAACTTCCTTTTTTCTTCTTCTGATAGCTTAATGATACGTGTTGTAAAATGAGTCATTCAACACAATGTTGATTCTGCTATCTCGTTGAACAAATACTTGCCTTTAGCATATTATATTTTCATTATTTCATTATCATTAATTTTCTAATTCTCCACATTCAAAGAAATTGTTTTTTTCTTAAGCTCTCTTTCATGTGTGATCATTCTAGCACCAAATTTCTAAATCACTTATACAAAACTCAGAAGATAGTCCACTGTTTTCAGTAAAGAGTATGTTCTTTGGCCATGAAAAGTATAATTTTGTTTGGCAAAATTATATTTTTCTTTTAAAAACATTGTGTCTGAGTTCTTTGTTGGTGTGTACCCATCTTCGTTCCATACAATTATTTGCTGCTTATTCATCTTTTTTTTTTTTTCTGAAACCATTGCTTGTGTGAATTTTGTGTGTGTTTTACTGGCTTTCTGGGTGTAAATACCTTCTTTGACCAAAGCGGATCTTCAAGATTTGTGATAATTTACAAATTTGATGTCTTTGAACATAGTATGAAAACTGGCTTCTGCCATTTCTTCATCCAGTTGGAAGGATTTTGGTGTTACATGGAATAGTCCCTCTTCTTCCACGCTCTCCCAACAACTGTGTCCTTCAAACCCGGAGGCGGCTGTGTGGAGGAACGGCTCTCCTGCAGACCGAGAAGGGCCCTTCCGCAGAATCTGCTCCCACCACGCTCACCGGGCACAGCCCGAGGCCGCGGTTTCATCTTTCTCCTCCCTGGGCATGATTTCGTGAATGTCATTTTTCCAAGTCTCGCAGACAGGCATGGGTTGCATCTGTGGCTTCTGAACTGTGGATTTGATAGGAGTAATTCCCTTTTACATTCTCATCGTTCTGGTCATTAAGTAAATCTTCATCAAGTAAGTAATGTGCAGGGCCCTGTGTAAAATCTTCAGGCGGGATGGTCCCACGTGTACTTCTGCAGCACTGAGCGATCTCGGAGGTCTCCCCACTGACCTTATGGTTCTTTTCAACTTCTCAGCTTCCCTTTCCTCTCTCATATTTCAATCACAATCTTGACTTCTACCCATTCTCAATGATAAAAAGAATGAAAATGTGATTCGCTTCAATATTTATATCATTTAAATATACCTCATCAAAAATGTAGAAAAACAAGAAATTAATTTCTTATGTATTTTAAGAATACATCTTATTTTAATGTTATTTTTAATATTTAAAATTAGCCATTGGGGCTGGCACTGTGGCATAACAGGTAAAGCCTACAACCCTGGAATCCCATTTGGTCACTGGTTCATGTCCTGGCTGCTCCATTTCTGACCCAGCTCCATGCTACTGGCTTAGGAAAAGCAGCAGAAGATGGCCCAAGTGTTTAGACCCCTGCCATCCACTTGGGAGACCCAGATGGAGCTCCTGGCTCAGCCCTGGACCTTGCAGGCACCTGGGGAGTGAACCAGCAGACAGAGATCTCTGTCTCTCCCTCTCCCTCTCCTCCTCAAAATAAATAAATAAATAAAAAATCTTTAAAAAATAGAACAAAATTATCCATTAACATTAAAAGCCAAACACAAGTTATATAAAGAATATAAAATTTTAAGTATCTGAAAATTTAATGATTGTATTTAACATTTTTATAAAAATGAGCTGTCCTTCATTTTTAAGTTGTATTAAAGCAGTACAATTCTAGAATCCAAGCTCTATCTATTTGCCAAGAATGGGGTGCTATTCCTCACACCTGCCACACACAGATTTCCATAATTGAAACTAAAGAGTGATGTTAGTTGTTTAACGTTGCCCAGGTTCCTCAGCCACTGGACTCAGCTGTCAGGAATAGTGTGCTGATTCCTGTATTTCTTCAGCACAAGGAACTGGAAGTTGGAGAGAAGCAAGGGAATGGAGATTTAGCTTTTCTAGAAAATACTTGGCTAAGGGATCGGTGCTGTGGCATAGAGGGTAAAGCCACTGCCTACTGTGTTGGTAACCCAGCTGATTCAAGTCCCAGCTGCTCTACTTCCAATCCAGCTCCCTGCTAATACACCTGGAAAAGCAGTGGATGATGGCCCAAGTCCTTGGGCCTCTGCACCCATGTGGGAGACCCAGAGGAGACTCCTGGCTCCTGACTTCACATACCCAGCTCCAAACATTGCAGCCATCTGAGGAGAGAACCAGCAAATGGAAGATCTTGATCTCTTTCTCTCTCTCTCTTTCTTTCTTTCTCTCTCTCTCTCTGACTTTCAAATGAATAAATAAATATTTTTTAAAAAGAAGAAGAAGCAACAGCAGCAGCAGCATGGGGATAAAGGAAAGTACTGGTTTAAGAAAAGAAAATGTTTGGTAAGAATCTATAGCCTCTGGCCGGCGCTGCGGCTCACTAGGCTAATCCTCCGCCTAGCGGCACTGGCACACCGGGTTCTAGTCCCAGTTGGGGCGCCGGATTCTGTCCCGGTTGCCCCTCTTCCAGGCCAGCTCTCTGCTGTGGCCAGGGAATGCAGTGGAGGATGGCCCAAGTCCTTGGGCCCTGCACCCCATGGGAGACCAGGAGAAGTACCTGGTTCCTGCCATCGGATCTGCACGGTGCGCCGGCCACGGCGGCCATTGGAGGGTGAACCAACGGCAAAAAGAAGACCTTTCTCTCTGTCTCTCTCTCTCACTGTCCACTCTGCCTGTCAAAAAGAAAAAGAAAAAAAAAAAAAGAATCTATAGCCTGTACAGTTACCTGGAGGTTTTCACAAGCTAATCCGGGTTTTGTCCCCTACCGAGGTGCTTCTGCCACCAAACTCCTCCCTGCACTCTGAGTCGGGGTCCTCCTCCACAGCCACAGCAGCACAACCCACAACCTTCGCCCAGCGGGGATCACGGCCACTTTTCCTTGCAAGGATGTGCCTCTCGGGACAAATGGAGCGGGCTTTCCTGGGGTGGAACAGGTGGTAGAGAGCACTTGGAGCTGTGAGTCACACAGTGCCACTGCTATGTGCCATATCTGAGTGACACACACGGGCCCCTGGAGAGCCCTCCTGTGCAGGTCAGCACTCCTGCAGCAAATCCTGCTCTGGTCCCGGCCCCACCGCCTGGCCAACAGAGGCACCTCTTTATTTTGCCCCAGAGAGCTCCTTGCTGGATCTATGCCTCCATGCCCTAACACAGCATCCTTCTTGACATCGTCCAAGCCCTACCTGTCCTGAGTCTGATCTTTCTGCCCTGCCAACTTTGCCTGAAGACTATTCACTCTTCACTGTCATTCCAGGGGGTGTCACTGCACTGAGCTTCTGCTCTGTCACCTCTGCTCAATGGAACCAGACCAAGCACACTCAGGCTGACACCCAGACAGGCTAATGATTTTAGAACACTTCAGGGACGGCCCTGTGGCATAGCGGGTAAAGCTGCCTCCTGCAGTGCCGGCATCCCATATGGGCGCCAGTTCGAGTCCCAGCTGCTCTACTTCTGATTCAGCTCTCTGCTATGGCCTGGGAAAGCAGTGGAAGATGGCCCAAATGCTTGGGCCCCTGCATCCATGTGGGAGACGCAGAAGAAGCTCCTGGCTCCTGCCTTCGGATTGGCACAGCTCTGGCCGTTGAAGCCATCTGGAAGTGAACCAGCAAATAGAAAACCTTTCTCTCTCTCTCTCTCTCTCTCTCTCCTTCTGCCTCTCTGTAACTCTGCCTTTCAAATAAATAAATAAATCTTTAAAAAAAACTTCAAAGCCTTGCATTTGCTGGTTTTTAATATTTGAAAGCTGTGTAGCAGATTGATTAAACTGGAACTCTGCAGGCCACATGGCACTCCAGCTCTGACACTTACAAGTCATTACCTGAAGTCAGGTTATTAATCCCATCTAAATCTTAACTTTCTCATCTGTAGAATGGGACTAATAATACCTCACAGCACCACTGCAGGTCCTACGAGCAATGACATACGTAAAGAGCCTGCCACTTAGCAAGCACGCCACGGCGGCCCATTTCATGATTTGTTCAGCACTTGCTTAGACATCTAGGAGCAGTCTTATTACTAGAAGTGTTACATAAACTTCATTTAGGCTTAGGGCATAATGTATAATAGAGCTAATTTTCCTAACCAAATGATTTATTGGGGGGAGCACATTTAAAAAGATTTAAAATTGCATAATAAAGTAAATCATCAGTAACCAACAACTGCATTGGGCCAGCTTGTGTCAGACTTACAGCATCTGCAAAAGCCAGCACCCAGCAACTGTCAGCAGCTAGACTTGGGGATGGCAGGACGTCCTATAAATGCACAAATCAAATGTCATACTGCGTGAGTAGAAGCCTCAGTCAGCTGAAATGTTTGTGACGCGGTCCACCCTGTAGATGGGCATTCCGGGGCATGCCCAGACTGCCAGCCCCTCCCCCTGCCCATGCCTCCAGCCACTGCTCATGACCCTGGGGTTGGCTGGGATCACATCAGCACCTTCTGCCCGCCCACAGCACATGTGCCTTCTGGGAGCTGTTACAAAACCCGCTTTCCAGTGCCCCGACTCTAAGCGTGGCGTGGTTGCTTGTTGTTTTTTCCAGACCTACTCTGGAGACTCACAGGTCTGCAATATCCAAATACCTCGAACATACAGTCACGCTGAAACTGGCCTCGGAGAAAAGGCAGCCTTGTTCCCCCAGCAGGCTAGGCCCCAGTGCTGGGAGCTGTCTCCACAGGACACCAAGGAGGTCAGTCTCATCCATTTAGTGAAACAAAAACCAGTCAAACCAGTTGTTTGGCGTCACAGGGACCAAGGACAAATAAACCAGAAAACAGATGGTGACCAAAAGAAAGAGAGACTGCCAGCTTGCATAAACCGTGGGTCTTGTTTCAGGCCCATCCTCTTTGGGAGGCACAGAGCACATTAAAAGCTGGACTTGGTTTGACCACTTTCCCACATCAAGGCTATGATGTTCTCAACCAAAGGAGTCCTTCAAAGGCCGTGTGTGGAGCTGGCATTGCAGGAAAAGCTCCTTCCCGCGGTCACCTGGAAAGCAAGTCTCCCTGTCTTTGTTCCAGAGACTGAACCTCAAGGAGGATCTTTCGTTTGATATTTCCCCATGACAGACACCAGATAAAGCTCCTGTGGAGGAGGGGGTGCCAGGTGTTGTGACACAGCACGTAAGCCACTGCTTGGGTCTCCGGTGTCCGGGATCAGAGTGCCTGGGATCCAGCCCCACCTCTGCCTCCACTTCTGATCCAGCTCCCTGTTACTATACCTGGGAGGCAGCAGCTGATGGCTCAGGTACTTGAGTGCCTCCCATCCACGTGAGAGACCGAAATGGAGTCCCTGGCTCCTGGCTTCAACCTGGCCCGGCTGCAGCGGTTTAACTAATAGATGGAAGGTATCGAGAGAGAGAGAGAGAGAGAGAGAAGAGAGAGGGAGAGAGAGAGTGTTTAATAGATGGAAGGTATCTCAGAATGTGTGTGTGTGTGTGTGTGTGTGTGTGTGTGGTTTAACTAATAGATGGAAGGTATCTCTCTCAGTATCTCTGTGTGTGTGTGTGTGTGTGTGTAACTCTGCTTTTCGAATAAAAAAATAAATAAAACTTTCTGAAAAAGACAAGGTCTGTGATATGCTAATATGGCAGCCAACACCGTTATCTGAGGGTGTTTTCCCCATGTTTGCCTCCTTACTGAGTGGAGGCTCCAATTCACAAGCCCTTATCACCCATCAGTGGCCTTTGGCCTTTGGTCTTCTAGACACAGCTCCTCCCAGCAATAAATACGGTTGGTAAATGTTCATGCTGTTTCTTTGAAAAAGAATCAATTATATGTTCCTCCTTATTGTGTATGCAAGAAAAGCTTAGTGTACAACTCATTCATGTTTCCTGCTGAACTGCTGATAAGCTTCCAGTTCTAAAAAGTTACTACGCTCCTACAGGAAACACTATCCCTCCTCTAACTTTACTCCATTCATTCCACCCCTAGTTGTTCCACAGGATTTTGAACAGTGACAAAAAAATCAACCTGTTGATTTTCCTACTTTAAAAAAAAATCATATCTTGCTTGAGTTTTGTCTTCTAAATCTCAACATTCAAATTTATTTTTCAATTTTATTTATTTATTTTCAGTCTATTTGAAAAGAAGAAAGACAAAAACAGAAAAAGAGAGACCTTCCATCTGTTGGTTCACTCCCCAAAGGCCTACATCAGCCAGGAGCCAGGGACTCCATCCAAGTGTCCCACGTGGATGGCAGGAACCCAAGTCCTTGAGCCACCACTACTGCCTCTCAACCCGCACATTAGCAGGAAGATGGATTGGCAGAGCTGGGACTTGAACTCACGTATTCTGATGTGGGATGCAGGCATCCCAGGCTGTGTCAACCACTGCACAAATGCCCAACCCCTGAATCTCCACATTTCAAACCCACATCCACCTGCCTAAAGTGAATATTAGGGATACTCCCTCACCCTTTTTCAAGTGTCTTTCATAAAGAAAATCTTTTTTTTTTTTTTTGACAGGCAGAGTGGACAGAGTGGACAGTGAGAGCGAGACAGAAAGAAAGGTCTTCCTTTTCCGTTGGTTCACCTCCCAATGGCCACTGCGGCCGGCACACCACGCTGATCCGAAGCCAGTAGCCGGGTGCCTCCTCCTGGTCTCCCATGCAGGTGCAGGGCCCAACAACTTGGGCCATCCTCCACTGCACTCCCGGGCCACAGCAGAGAGCTGGCCTGGAAGAGGAGCAACCGGGACAGAATCCAGAGCCCCGACCGGGACTAGAACCCGGGGGTGCCGGTGCCACAGGCGGAGGATTAGCCTAGTGAGCCTAGTGAGCCGCAGCGCTGGCCTCATAAAGAAAATCTTACCAAACATATGAAACAGTACTAACACAAGGCCTGTAACTACTGATGTAATGGAAGCATGAAGTTCTCGTTCCAGCAGACTGTGGAAGCCATCACAGCCACTAGAGTTGACAGCCAGCCCTAAGGCCCTCTCCCAGAGACCCTCGTTTCTCCCCGGTCACCACCCGGGCCAGAGGCAGCAGGGATCCGCCTGCTTACAGGAGGAAACTAAGACCAGAGAACCATTCAGTGCACGCTGGGGAGAGGAGCTGCTCCCTTGTCGGCTCCTCACAGCCACAAAGAGCAGCCCAAGCGTACACGGCACACACCGCAGCCCACACCCTACATCTACATGTGCACACACACACACACACCCCACACACAAAGAGCGGACTGTGACTCCTCCTCAGCTCAGCCTGGATTGGGGAACTGGGGGGAGGTGGGGGTTGGGGTCCACAGAGTCAGAAAACAGAACCTAGCTTTGTCTGCGGGTTCCTTGCAATCTCACAGAATGCCTTGTTAGTCCTGGAAGTGTTTTCTGTTGTGGGGCAGAGGAACTGGGGTGCTGCCTGGAGCAGGAGCCCTTTAGGGGGATGTGGGCCTGTTCCAGGGAGAGCAGAAACCAAGAGGGAACCTTGGGGCTGGGGGATGGCAGAGGGGAAGGAGGCCATCAGACAGAGCGGCTGGGATGCACTTTATCTAAAGAGAGACCCCCCAGCACCCACTGGGGCGGCCGTTTGGGGGGATGGGGGCGGGGCCAAGTTCTGTGCCAAGTACCCAAGGTAGAATTGAGCTCACACTAGCCTGGCCAGCACCCTCCCTCTGCGAACACCCGGCAAATGACCATTCCAGTGAGAGCTTTTGAACATTCGAGTCCTGCAAAGATTCTCCGCCCTCCCTTTTGCAAAAAGTGAACGGCATTCGGGCATTTTACAGAAGGTCAAGAAGTCTCACCACCTACCTCAGAGACAGGCCTCCTCTTCCCCCTCCTCTTCCTTTTGAAATCATATCCAAACCCCAGTGGTTTCATTGCCCGGGAGAGCGCTGTGCCACATGCAACATCTGTAAGCAGTTAATTTTCCAAATGGGAGACGGTCACCACAGATGCAGAACTTTTAAAAATAAACACCAGAAAAATACTGCTCCGGTGAAGACGAAAGCCTCGAATCTGTGTGCGGCGGTGGGAGGTGGGAGGTGGGAGGTAGCCCGTGCTAAGGAGCAGAGCCCACTGTGCTCGCCCACCCCACCACACACAAGCCAGAGAACCGGAACCGCAGAACCTGCGGGCGAGGAAGGACCTTCCCAGAAGAAAGAGGGCCCTGGGCAGGAAGCGAAACCCAGGCCCAGAGCCCTCTGCCCAGGCCGCACTGTGGCGTAGTAGGCTAGGCCTCTGCCTGCCGCGCCCGCATCCCATATGGGCCCCAGTTTGTGTCCTGGCTGCTCCTCTTCTGATTCAGCTCCCTGCTATGGCCTGGGAAAGCAGCGGAAGATGGTCCAAGTGCTTGGGCCGCGGCACCCGTGTGGGAGACCTGGAGGAAGCTCCTGGCTCAGGATCAGCCCATTTGCAGCCATTTGGGGAGTGAACCAGCGGATGAAAGACCTTTCTCTCTGTCTCTCCCTCTCTCTCTCTCTGTAACTCTGCTTCTCAAATAAATAAATTTTTTTAAGAAATGGAACAAACAGTATTTTTCACTTTATGTTTCTGTGTGGGAGCAAACTGTTGAAATCTTTACTTAACGTATGCTAAACTGATCTTCTGTGTATAAAGAGAATCGAAAATGAATCTTGATGTGAATGGAAGGGGAGAGGGAGTGGGAGAGGGGAGGGTTGCGGGTGGGAGGGAAGTTATGCGGGGGGGGGGGGGGGGAGCCATTGTAATCCATAAGCGGTACTTTGGAAATTTATATTCATTAAATAAAAGTTTAAAAAAATGGAAAGAAGTTTTTTTTTTCTCTCCCAGAAAAACTCTCACCCTGACCCGCTGAGGGTGGGCACTGCCCCCCACCCACACCTCTCACCCTGTGCTGCAGCTGGACAGAAAGGCTTGAGAAGCCAGGACATTCCAGAGGCCAAGGAGAGGGCGGAACTGAGGAGGGCCCGAGACACAGAGCTCCACTTCTCACCGGAGCCACTGTGGCCAGCACGAGTTACGGAGCACCTGGGGCAGTACAGGCGGGAGATCCAACGGTGCCGGACGCCGGCGTCCACGTGGGAGCGGAGCAAGGCGCACACGCACAGAGGCACCGGGTAGGCGTCAGCACACGGAGGCGGTTAGCCTTGGAGTGGGACTGAGGAGACCTGAGGGACCAGCCCTACATGTAATGTTCTGCTCCAGGCTCACGCTTAATCTGCCATGACCACCTTACCGCTAATTGACCCCTCATCATCTCTTCCCCACAGATTTTCCTCAGAGAGGCTCCAGCAGACAAAAGCTGATGGAGGAAAGCGGCGGAAGAGAAGAACTATGGGCAGGCAGGCCTCCCGCGGAGGAAATGCCAGGTACAGCGACCACCAGGGGGCGCTGCTGCCCCGTCAACGGCCCTGGAGCTGGTCGAGACTCCGGGGAGGGGGGACCCAGGTTTTTAGCAGCTCCAGTCTGCTCCACTCCTTCCCCCACCCCACCTTCCAGACTATCCTTAAGGCTTTGGAATCTCCCTCTGGGAACTGTCTCAGAGGGTTCGTTCCCCCCTGTAAGCCTCTTCCTGAGAATATATCCCTGGCCAGGCAGGGAAGGTGGAGGCGCTGGGTGGCGAAGAGAGAGCCCCCTCCCCCCACGCACACACTCGGATTGGCTGCTGCTAGGAAGGCGCCTCTCAGGCGCCGAAGACCCCAGCACGCCCTGGCTCCCCTTAGACAGGAAGGGTCAGCTGGAGTGTGGGCTGTCACCCACAGGGGACCCCGGAGGTAGAGGGACACCCCAAAGCTGGCAGCAGCTCCGGCTAGGCCTGAGGAGCTCCGAATGCGGGTGCAGGCCCGGCCCAGGTCCAGCAAGCCCTGTCGCCCTGCACGAAGCCCACACCTGTTGTCTGGGATCAATGCCGCTCGCCTGCGCGAGACACCCGGCATCCTCTATCCCTGCTTGAGTTACGTTCTCCGAGACGGCGGCTTAGCGCCTGTTAGCTACAGGTCAGGTCAGCCGTGTGTCTGCCCAGATCCATGCCTCCCACGTCCTCGTCCCGTCTCAGGACCCTGCGGGGGCCTTTCAGAGAAGCGCTTTTCCAGGGGCCTAAAAGAGGCAGGTGCAGGGATCCACTCTGTGAGAACTGTGAACCGGTGGTTTCAGCCTCAGACGGCATCGAGCAAGCTCAGGCGTGGTTCTTGCAGGTGGCAACGGGTGCTCCAGCCCCAGGAGGAGCCAGCGGCAGAGTCCAGGCACACAGAAGCAGCCCCTGAGCTGTCCATCACCCTGCCAGGCACACTTGGCAGGACCCCAGCCTCAAACGGAGCCTCCTCAAGGAAGAGGGGCCGGGGTCTGAACCACCAGACAAGACCAAGGTCAGACGTGGATTCAGGAATCGCATCAGACCCCTCTGGGGGATGGGAATGAATCAGGAGCCATCGGCCTGTGCGCTTGAGCAGAGGACACCCCAGAGCCTGCCCGCTGCGCCTGCGCCTCCGCATCCCACATCTGAGGGCTGCCACTCAGCGTCAGCTTCTAGCGGCGCTACCACCGTCGCCTCTGAGGTCTCAGCGAGGCACGATTTCGACTGATTGAAAACATGAGACCCGATCCCAGCCCGCGCTTCCCCCAGTGGCAGTCTGAGGCCGCACATCCATTTCCTGCCTTGGTCAGAACTGGCTCCAGCGTGGGACAGGCCTGCCCTGGCTCCAGCGGCGGGGAGGCCAAGATGGATAAAAGTGGAGACACGCATCCAAGGGGAATGAAGCATAAACCAGAAGCACTGAAGCCACCCAGGCCCTCCCAGGCCCCAGGTGCAGGCCAGGCAAGGGTGCGGGAGGTGGTGCACATAAGCCCATCTGTGGCTGTGATGTCCCCATCGTCTGCCCTGGGACACCCCGCTGCCCAGCCACTTTTCCCCACGCATGAAGATGGTCAGCTTTGATACAGAAAATCAAGGACACACAGGGGGCTATGAGGGGGCTCCTTGCAAATGACACGTCTCACCAAAGCCCCCACATTTTATACTCAGGATTCAGAGTAGCCTCACAGAGTAAGATCCACTCATTTCCCATTGAGTGTCCCTTCTCTGATGCCAGAATTCTCCAGAAGGTCTCTGAAACAGGTCAAGAAATAAGAAAAAGAGGCAGTTAGCTATAAAACACTGGGTAGTAAAGATTATGCAAATAGGAGTCTCCAAAGCATAGAAACCTGGAGTCATTTTAGTGCTGAGATAAATGCCATCTGTGTACCTTCATGTAGACCTGAAGATATGACAGTGCGCCTGACTCATTCAAAAAAGACAGTCCCTCCACCATCTTTTGATTCCAATGATAGTGACCCAGCCTCGCACAGCTGTTTATTCCTGTAGGTCATTTCCAATATAAAGAAACGAAGGCACCCTGCTCAGAAGCCAGACCCTGGGTTAATTCTTCCTCTGTACACAATCAGAGGCAGTGGACAGAGGCACTCAGCAGTCCCAGCCCTTCAGCAGAGAGAAGCAAACTGTAAATTTGCACGAGGATCCTTCAGGACTCTGTGGTACTTTCTAAAACACTTGCAGACAAACTGCTTCCAAGCCCTACAAACAGTGTAGAAGCTTCTAGGTGTCTGAGTAACTACATATCATCTTTCTTCCCCATTCATTCAAGGAGGCCCCAAGAGCCCCTCTGGGCCACTGTTGAATGGCTGCATGAATGGGCGGATGGGTGGTAAATAAACAAACCTGGTGACATAGCAGGATTTCTTTGAAAATAACAAATGACCTTTCTTTAAATACAGGCCAATGCAGACGTCCGCTGCTTTACACAACCCCCTCCCCGAATCTGCATCTGTAAGACTCCGTGTGTCTTAGATCACTTTCTGCTGCTTGTATTTTAAGATGACATCCAACATTCAGATGAAAAGTCAAGTATCCATCATTTTGAAGTGCCTGAACATCCAGATGGTTGGCATCAGCAGATAGAAGCACTGTGTATCCATTCGTTGAACAAATATTTATTAAGTGTCTGCGCCATGCCTGGCTTTCTGCTAGGCCCTGAAGACCCCAAATGGAATAAGATTGATTATTCAGTCAACTTAGCAAAACCACATCGTCTTGAAGTGGGAAGAAGAGAGTAACCACACAAAGAACCTGCTGCATGCCCGGCACTGCCTTAGGCACCTCCACAGGATTCTTTTCACGTCATGACACCCTTGGAAAACAAGTCTTACACGAATGAGGAATGTGAAACTCGGAGAGGCCAGGTAACTTGCTTAAGCCGCACAGCTAGCAAGGGTCAGAGCGAGAATTCTGCTGCCCTCCCTCCACACGGCCTAACGGAGGGGCCTGCGCTGGGAGGTGGAGAGCAAAGCAGACGGGCTCTGGCATCCTCTGATTGTGTGCCTTCCCAAAACTGAGTCTCTGTTTCTTCATCACAACGCCGCTCTCAGAAGCCACTTGCAGGGGCAGCAGTGGTAGCCCAGTGGGCCACACCACATCCCATATCAGTTCAAGTCCTGGTTCCTCTGTGCTGCTCATCCGGCTTCCTGCCAGTGCACCTGAGAGGCAGAGATGACGGCTCTCTTGGGCTCCTATTAGGGCCCTGCTTCCCACAGGGGGACCTGGATGGAGTTTCTGGATCCTGTTTTCAGCCTGCAGCTGTTGAGGGCATTTGGCAAGTATAACATTAGCAAATAGAGAATCTTTTTCTCTCTCTCCCTCTCTCTCTCTTTCTCTCTCTGTCACTCTTTCAAATAAAATAAATAAATTGTTGTTTAAAAAGAAAAAAGAACAAGAAGCAGCCAGTTGCGGGAATCAAAGGAAATAGTATACAAGACATCTCCTACCTTTGGATGCAACGGGTATTCTCTGCTCAGCAAATGTGCATTCCAGGAGTCTCCCAACCGCCTTCCTCCTCACGGCCCAGCCTCAGTGGTGCTCCACACAGCCTCCACCAACGCCTCCAGGGGAGGGCAGCTCACCAGCTCCTGAAGCGGCCGTGATGGAGTTGGAAGGCACCCTGAGTCTCCGCGGGTCCAGACAACACCAAGTGTGGAACAGACAGGAAGCAAAGGCAGAGACCACCCCAGGAGGTCACAGTTCAGCTCTGGAGACAAAGTCTGTCTGTTTTTGAAATATTAAAAAATAATTATAATAAGGGAAACATCAGAGAACATTCCAATATGCATGATCTTCCAGAACAGCAAAGGGAGGCAGAGAAGTGGCAGGCCCTTGCTTCCTGCCTTAGCCCCATCCCGATGAGCAGCTGAGCTGACCTCCAGGCCAAACAAGCATAGCCAGGCCTTTCACAGGAGCTGATACTCTTCATTTTCTCCCTCACAGGGGAGAAACTACTGCACAGTCCCCTTTGAGCCATTGTCCCAGGTAGCTCCTAAGCCAGCCAGGTATCTCCCAGCCTTGTGAGGGACCAGTCTTGCTCTACTGTAAGGAATCTGAATGGCCATGCGAACACAGTGATAAAAAAGATTTTTATAACTTTTTTTTTTGACAGGCAGAGCCAGACAGTGGGAGAGAGACAGAGAGAAAGGTCTTCCTTTCTGTTGGTTCTTCCCCCAAATGGCCGCTACGGCCAGCGCACTGCGCCGATCTGAAGCTAGGAGTCAGGTGCTTCTCCTGGTCTCCCATGCGGGTGCAGGGCCCAAGGACTTGGGCCATCCTCCACTGCCTTCCTGGGCCACAGCAGAGAGCTGGCCTGGAAGAGGAGCAACCGGGACAGAATCCGGTGCCCCAACTGGGACTAGAACCCGGTGTGCCAGCGCCACAGGGCAGAGGATTAGCCTAGTGAGCCCCAGCGCCGGCCGATTTTTGTAACTTTTAATAAGCTTGTAAGCAGCCAAGTGCCCCCCACATTCCACCACTCTAATCAGATGTCCCTGAAGTGTGCGTGTTGGGAGTTCAAGTTCAAGTTCATGCTGTCTTCCAGCTCTACTGCTTCAGCTGCATGAGTTATTGAGCCTCACTAAGACTTAGTGTTCTCATCTGCAAGCTGGTTCCTCCCTTGAAGGGTCAAAGGAAAGAGCAGGGGTCAGCAATCTATGCGCTGTGGATCTGACTCCCTGCCTGTTTTTGTGAAGGCCTAGGAGCTAAGAATCGTTTTTACCTTCTAAATGGTTGAAAAAATCCGAAGGATATTTGGTGGCACTTGGAAAGTGTGTGACATTTCAATTTCAGGATGCATAAATAAAGTTTGATTGGAGCAAAGCCACACACCCACGTTGGTCTACATTGGTACCTGTGGCTGCTTTCCTGCTACAACAACATAGTTGACAAGTTGTAACAGAGACATTATGAGCCAAGAAGCCTAAACTATTTGCTCTCTGGCTTTTTACAGAAAGTGCTGGCTAACTCCTGGTGCACAGAAAATGAAGGTGAAGCTTGAAGTGCCTACAGCAGAAAAACACCAGAACATCTGCATCATTTTCTCTTCATTAACGTCTAGCTCCTGCCTGGCCATTATATTTACATCACTTTGTGTTTGCCTCTGAAAATACATTCCCAGGTATTGATGAAGAGTTTCTTAATTTTTTTACAATCATTGCATAACACATGAATACATCATCCCTCAGTGCCTCCAGAGCTATCTGGCTTTCTAATGCATTTTTTTTGTTTTTGTGTTTTTTAAAAGACTTATTTATTTATTTGAAAGGCAGAGTTACAGAGAGGTAGAGGCAGAGAAAGAGAGAGAAGTCCTCCATCCTCTGGTTCACCCCCAAAATGGCCACAACAGCTGAGCTGGGCTGATCTGAAGCCAGGAGCCAGGAGTTTTGTCCAGGTCTCCCATGTGGGTGCAGGGCCCTGAGCACTTGGGCCATCTTCCATTGCTTTCCAGACCATAGCAGAGAACTTGATTGGAAGTGGAACAGCCAGGACTTGAACTGGTGCTCATATGGGATGCCACCACTGCAGGTGGTGGCCTTACCCACTAAGCCACAGCACCAGCCCCTCTAATGCATTGTTAACACTGATGCATTGTCCCAACCTCACAGAAAGAAAAGGGAAGACAGGGTACATGCTCCCAAGCACACCCTCTGCTCTTAGCCTTACCAAGAGTGCAGTAGAAGGACCTGGCATGGAACAAAGGAATAACAAAGTCTCCAGGCACCACTGTATCACAGGACGTGGAAGGGAGAAGCTGCCTTAGAAGTCATCTGATCCAGTGACCCCTGTTTTAGCCGTAAGGAATCCAGGCCTGCACAAAGTTAAGGGACTCAGCAGGAGGACTCGACTCTCCTTAGCCTTCCCCTCCCCATCTTGGTGCTGCTCCAACTTGTGCCATTCTCTAAGGTTCTTCCTGAGGGACACACACTCCCTTTCCCTTTGATTTTAAATCCTTGGCTCCAAGGATATGTCCTGACTAGCATGTGAAATGACCTTGAAAAACTGTGTGTGTACAAATCCTCTTTTATTCCATGTTAATAATCTCAAAAACAAATCAAATCCATTTTTCAAACAAGGTAGCAGGGCCAGCATTGTGGTAGAGCAGATAAAGCCACTGTCTGCAGTGTCAGCATCCCATATGGGCACGGTTCATGTCCCAGCTGCTCCACTTCCAATCCAGCTCTCTGCTAATGTACCTGGGAAAGCAGCAGAAGATGGGCGAAGTGCTTGGCCCCTGCCACCCATTTGGGAGACGTGGAAGACCCTTCTAGCTCCCGGCTTCAGGCAGGCCCAGCCCCAGCTGCCATGGCCAGCTAGAAGATCTCTGTCTCTGTTTCTCCCTTTCTGTAACTTTGACTTTCAAATAAATAAATCTTAAATTAAAAAAAAAAGGTAGCCTCTATTCCATCCTGACCTTGACATTCATTACTGAACAATTGCTGGCTTTTTAATCTCCCAATCAAGATCCGGCCATGTTTAGCCAACCTCCTCCCAGGATCCTGGCACCGCCTATGGAGGCTCCAGAACAGGTGGGAAAATTGAGAGGTCCCTACCCAGAGCAGTGGGAGTCGGCCCTCACAGCCGGCCCTTCATGCAGCCAGACAGAAAAGGCATTCACGTTCCTCCTCCATGTCATGATACCAACAGAAATTACCTTTAAATGAGGAAGAAAGTCATTATTTAATCAATAGGATTGCGTCAATTGAGGAAAATTTGTCTCCAGTGTAAACAAGCGGAACGTCTTTGCGCTCTATGAAAACAGGGTTAAATTACTTGCAGATCCAGGCGACGGGGAGAGATGTAGGAAGTGAACCTGAAGCCTGACACATTCAAGGTCTGGGAACCGAAAATAATAGGAATTGTTCTGAGTTCTCCAGCGGAATGGAGCACAGAAGTGGGCACGCCCCTTTGCAAAGCCAAGGATTCCCATGCTTTCCCCTTTGCTTATAAGAAGCAGGAGAAGGCAGAGGAGAGGGACAGCTACAAAGAGAGAAAGCAACAAACGGAGGTAAAATGAAGGCCAGACCAGCTGACCCTGCCCAGGCTGGCCACTGTCATGGACGTGTGGAGGGGGAGCTAGTGTTGGGGACAGGGAGCAACATTAAAATGAGGATTGATCAGGTTTCAGAAGTCCAGCCCTTCCTCAGTCCCTTTCTCTGTCAATTCCATCCGATGAGTCATATTGAGAATAAAGTGCTAGGTATCAGTATAAATAAGTACAATGGCAGCTCATGCCCACTCTATGGCAAGTGTGCTAAGCGGGGATGCACCCTGTGCTATCCAACATGCACCCTATCCTTAGAAGCCAGAGGCAGAAACAGCTGGAGCCCAGGGGGGCGGCTCTGCCTGGTTCCAGGGCCTATGGTTCCAGCTGCCCAACCTCGGACTCCATCTGTTTGCTGGGTACTCGTCCCTGTGCTGTGCACTGTGGAGTCGGGGGGGTGAACTCAAGCCAGCACTGCCCTGTGCCACAAGGAGATGGGGACAAAGCATTGCCTGCGTTTGGAGTGGGGCTCGACTTGTCTCAGAGTCTTTGGCTCATCAGCCTCTGCTTCTTCCGTCCCCGTCCCCAGCCTGTGTCTCCTTTGGCTGCCTGAGACAGCGACTGGTGGTGGAGAATGTGATCTGTGTGATGGCTACGGAGCAGCTGGTGAGGGCTCCGTTCCCCGCTTCCTGGCAGGGTTTGTTGGTGGGAATTTGTCCTCTGGGTCTTCCTCACCTCCCCAGGGGGCTGTGCCAGCACTGCCGCCCTCCATTCACCAAGAACAAGACCGAAACCAAAGGAACCTTGTGTCTGGACTTCTCTAAAGCCAGATCCCATCACTCTCCTGGTGAATGCCGGTGCCCAGCTCCCAACTCCCCTCCCCCTATCCCCACTCACCCCTCACTCATCTCCAGTTCTGAATTGTCTGAATGCATGGTTCATAACAGAGCTTCCTCCGTGACAGCTTTCCCTGCACACCCTCAGCTGAGATCAAGAAGAGTGGGTGCCCTCGATTACCCAGCAGAGAGCTGGGGAGGCCAGGCCAAGGGCTTGCTTCGCAGCCAGCCCAAGAGAGCAAGAGTCTGGCCTGGCAAAAAGCAGAATTATCAATTAAAAAAGAAGAAAGGAAACATATTGGACCTGGGAGGAAATAAAAGACCCACCCAGTTGCCAGAGTGACGAATGAGACTGGGAGGTCCAGAAAATGTGAATTCCTGGGGCATCATCAGAAGGGGCCCCGATGGGCCAGGCTGGACACTATTGGAGGAGTGGAGACAGATGATTTCCATGGGTCAGGTTTGAGACCAGTCGGAACACTGCACAAAGCTAGATACAGTCTACTCTTTGTACTGGTATTTATCTAACTTGTCAATTTTACGGCCACATTACCTTCCGAGTGTGCAGGAGAGCAGATACTGGCGCTGTCAAGAGGCCTGGCTGCAGTTTGCTCAGCATAATGACAGATGCAAAAAACCAATGGCGAGGGGAGAGGGGCCTTCGGAGACCACAAAAGAGCCTTTATAATTACGCCTCTGCCTGCCTCGGGTGCCTGCGGAGCTGCCCAGCCAGCTTCAAGGGGTGCTGTCTCCCCCCACCCCACCCCCCGGATATGCGGACGTGCAGGGCAGCTGCTGGGCACGCGTCTGTTAATCACCGGCGTGGACTTGAAGGGAGCTGTTTCGTGGCTGCCTAGCTTCTCCAGGCTAAATAGCTGCCTCCCTTTAACCTTTCTTCATGGGCCTGATTTTCCATCCCTTTAATCATCCCTGTCACTTTCTGCTGCAGTCGCCACTCTCACCACATCCCTCCCCCAGGGTGGAGATTGGAGCCAAGTGGAATAATGGGCCTCCAAGAGCTGCTCCGCGCTGACTCTCCTGCGGGTCCTGGGACATCCATGGACCTGGCTCACACATACCTGCCCCCCACCCCCACCCTGCCCAGGCTGAATGACCACGGCTCATGACCCAGATGGCACCTTCCCTCCTCTCTTGGATGCCCCTCAGACCCAAGAGTCTCCTCTGAGCTGATTCTCACCCTTCTCCTCCCCCTCCATTCTCACTGTCTTACCCCCACTCTGCCCAGATCCCCAGCCTATCAATCATCTGCACCATGTAAATGGACCCTCCAGCCTGCTTCCCTGCAACCAGCTTCCCCTCCAAAACTGTTTTTTTTTTAAATATTTATTTATTTATTTGAAAAGCAGAATTACAAAGAGGCAGAGATACAGAAAGGTCTTCCATCTAGTGGTTCACTCCCCAAATAGCCACAACAGCTGCGAAACCAGGAGCCAGGAGCTTCTTCCAGGTCTTCCACGTGGGTGCAGGGTCCCAAGTACTTGGACCATCATCTGCTGCTTTCCCAAGCACACAGGCAGGAAGCTGGATCAGAAGTGGAGGAGCCAGGACTTGAACTGACACCCATATGGGATGCCCGCACAGCAGGCAGCAGCTTTACGCGCTATGCCACAGCACCAGTCCCTGCCTCCAAAACTCTTAAAAGCCAGCTTTAGAAATGTGTTTTGAATCACAGGTCATTTGTGCTGAGTCCTGCTCAAACTCATGGCTTCCTGTTGCTTTTTGTAGTATCACATAAACAGCTTGCCACATTCCAGGCCCAAGGTGCTGTCACCCCTTCTTTCACCCTAAGTCCAGATCCTTATTAAAAAAAAACCTTCCAGGGTGGCCAGTTAGCCTAGTTAAGACACCCATACCCCACATCAAAGGACCTGGGTTCAATGCCCAATTCTGGCTCCTGACTCCAGCTTCCTCCTAATGTAGACCCTGGGAGGCATTGGAACTGGTTCAAGTCTTTGGTTCCCTGCCACCAATATGGGCAACCTGGATTGAGTGACTGACTGACTCCCTGATTTCTGTCTCAGTCCAGGGACAATGCAGGCATTTGGCAGTGGGAGTGGGAAATAGTGAACCAGTAGAAATGAGATCTCTCCCCCACCCCTCTCAAATAAATATTAAAAATGAAAACAGTCCCTAGTCCATCTCCTCCTTACTCTGTCCACTCTTTACACATCCCCACAGCATTCCACTGGAGGCAGAATGTTTGGGGAATATTGATATTTACATGGTTAGGTTTCTTAGACTGCAAGCAACAGAAACTAACTCAAAGACAACCACAGGCCTCAGAAAGCACAAAAGAGGGCAGCTCCAAAGATCTTTCTAGAACACTGCATCAGATGATCAGCTCCTAATGCCTTCTATGCTGATCTGTTTCTGCTCAAGCTTCAGAATTTCAGGACCTAGAATCTGAACCAGTTCTGTGATGGGGAGAGGGGGCAGAGTCACGTGATCGGCTGCAGCTGCCCTAGCACCAGCACTTGGGGTGGGGGAAGGCTGCAAGATGTAGCAAAGAGAAATAAAGAATGCCAGTGAGATTTTGAGTTTCAGATAAACAACAAGTCACTGTCTGGACAAACATAATCTACGCAGTGTGTCCTGAATTTGTCTTCCCATTCTTCCTTCTCTCAGTTCCACTCTGCAGCCCTTGGCCAGGTAGGTGTTCCCTTAGACTTGTGCCTGCATCCCTCTGACTGCAACAACACACGGTGTCCCTTATACTTATGAGATTTCCTCAATCCCCTCT